GGGCACGTGACAGGCGGGCTCGAGAGGGATCTCCCTGGCTTTTTAGTCTAACCTCGTCTTCCTAGTTGTTAATTAGTTTTTAGGATATTTCTTTGTTTGCAATTTAGTATTTAGCTTGTGCGGATAATGTTTCGACAATATCGGCTACAATGTGGTAATTAGACTTTTTAGCCTTGGTTCGGTAGGAGGTAGGAGGAGAGAATGTGAAATGAGGTGAGGAGCAATGAGATATGAGGAAGAATATAGGACAAAATTTCAAAACCGATCCATTTCATGATTTAATTGTAAAAAACGACCCGTTTTTATTTTATTTATAAAAACCGACCCAGTTGGTTGAAACTGGGTCGGTTTTTGAAAAAAAAATTCCCAAACTTCACGGGAGTTCAACTCCCGTGAAGTTTCGTTCTGAGAAAAAACTTCACGGGAGTTGAACTCCCGTGAAGTTTCGTAAAGTTATTTAGAAAAACCGACCTGGTTTCAGCGACAGTGCTGAAACCAGGTCGGTTTCTCTAAATAAGTTAGGAACGTGTCGTTTTTTGCAATTAAAACATCAAATGGGTTGGTTTTGAAAATTTATCCGAAGAATATATCTTCTATGCTCCTTGTTTGGTTGGAGAATATTAAGGGTTTGTTAGTCCACTTTTCAAGGCCGACGTGTGTCCCATCCACGACTAATAAGACACGACTAGAGTCCAGGCGACTCGAGTTGACCCTGCATTCGACCCAACAAGCCGACGACTCGCAAGAACGACTAAAAATGCGGGTACTTGGCGACCAACTCACCAGATCCGCTCTATGAGCGCCTACACTCAGCTCGCCTGTTTCAGCCGAGAACTCGCGTAGCCGACTGAAAAGGTGGTGTTTCTTTGCCCTCAAACAGATGAGTGAAGAGGCGTTATGCTCTGGAATCTCCCGTCGACGGACGACTGCCGTCATCTTAAATGCTCTGTCAGAGTCACTGTTACTCTATAATCCTTATGGTCTTCATGACTCATCGGACTCAGTCAGTACTAAGTGTCTATTGTCGTCCCCGTATTAAATACCTAGTTGATTCATTCCTTTCAACAGCCGACACATATGAAGTAGGTGATGGATGGGTTGCCAAGCTGAACTCGGCCAAAGTTACCTATTTACCCCTCTAGTCCACTATAAAAGGGACGTGTACTGCATAAGGTAAAAGGGGCTAAGCTTTTTTGATACAACTCTGAGCCACTCTCTCATGATATTTTCCCTATTCATGATCAATTACTGACTTGGTTATCGGAGGAATAACTGGAGAACCTAACTCCGGTCTCTCACGAGTTCTTCA